CTCTTCGACCAGATCTCCTCGTACGGCCCGCGGGGCTACTCCGACATGCTGTGCGCGCTCACGCTCATAATCCTGACGTTCTACTTCGTGACATCGTCGGATTCTGGATCGTTCGTGGTGGACATCCTCTCCTCCAACGGCCACCCAGACCCCCCGGTGTTTCAGCGCGTCTTCTGGTCCTTCACAGAAGGGGCCACCGCCATTGCCTTGCTGTACTCCGGCAACAACGCGAAGGATCCAGACGCTGCTCTGAAGGCCCTCCAGGCGGCGTCCATCATCACGGGCCTGCCCTACACATTTGTCATGTTCTGGTGCGCGCAGTCGCTCGTGATCTTGTGCCAGGAGGAGAACGGTGGGCTCGACCCTAACCGGAAGGCCTTCTCAACGTTCATCTTCAACGGGAAGAATATCGTACTTCACTTGAAGAACACGGCCGTGCCAGGCTTGACCATGGGCAGGGCTGTGGTGCACGTCGGCAAGTGGCCTTTCTCTGGCCTCGGTCCGGCCGCCACGATGGGATTGTGGACGGGCGCCTTCTCTTTGCTGTACTACATGGCAATCATTATCACCATCTGCACTGCGGCCCTGTACCAATGGGCGCTCATCGGCTGCACGTTCTACATCGGCTTCGGTACCTTCGTTGGCCTGCTTCGCAACCACATGCGCGTGAAGCACTTCATCGAGCACGGCGACATCGCCACGGACCTCCTCTGCGGCATCTTCGCGCCCATGTTCACCCTCTCCCAGATCGAGGCGCAGTTCACGGTGCCGATCGAGAACAAGAAGAAGAACGACGACCTGGAGGTGAAGGAGGACACCAACGAGAACATCTGAGCCACCGGGGCGGACAGGGTGGCGCTGGGGCGACCGGCCCCGGAAGGAGGGGGAGGAGGGGGGAAGAGCAGGGGGAAGACGAGAGGAGAAAGAGGAATCATTGATAATCGAGAGGGCTTCGATTGCAGAGCAGGCTGGGGAGACTTTTTCCCTATATCCAAAGATGGGGTTCTTGTTATTCCCCATATCCAAAGATGGGGTTCTTGTTATTGGCGGACCGCGCCGGAAGGACACAGAACAGGACAGAACACCACACCCATCACTCAGACACACACGTAAGTTATTCCCCATATCCTAAGATGGGGTTCTTGATTCCCCATATCCAAAGATGGGGTTTTTGATTCCCCACTCACTCATCACTCAGACTCACTCATCAAGACTCACTCATCACTCAGACTCAGTCCTCACTCAGACACACCACTCATCACTCAGACTCACCACTCAGATTCACTCATCACTCAGACTCACTCATGCTCTCTCATCACTCAGACTCAGTCATCACTCAGACTCAGGCGATTCGCTCGTCTCAGCAATCTAAGGGGGGCGGCGGGGGGGTATTTCACGGGGTCCCGTTCGCGGAATTTTGTGGGGATGTCTCAGGCGGTTTGGCCATTTTCTGATCCAACATGTTTCGTTTTCGGAGCAGATTTGGAGGATGTCTCAGGCGATTCGCTCGTCTCAGCACTCTAAGGGGGGCGGCGGGGGGGTATTTCACGGGGTCCCGTTCGCGGAATTTTGTGGGGATGTCTCGAGCGGTTTGCCTGTTTTCTGTGCCAGCATCCTTCGCTTTCGGAGCAGATTTGGAGGATGTCTCGAGCGAGGCGCTCATTTTCACCCCAGGTGGGCCAGATTTTGAGGATGTCTCGATCGGTTTGCTTGTTTTGGTGGCCAGGCTCGTGGGCGCAGATTCTTCTCAGGATGCCACAGGAGGCTCCAACAGGCTCCAGGAGGCCCCAGGAGACCACATGAGGTCCCAGGAGGCATCAGGAGGCCACAGAAAGACTCAAGAGGCCACAGGATGTCCCAAGAGGCTCCAGGAGGCCCCAGGAAGCTCCAGAAGGCCTCAGGAAACCACAGGAGGCCCCAGGAGGCAACAGGAAGCGCCAGGAGGCCTCGGAAGGCAACAGGAGGCCCCGAGAGGCCCCAGGAGCAGGAGGCCTCAGAAGGCAACAGGAGTGGCTCCAATCCCATGTGTTTTACGTATGCTCCTATCCATTGGGCCTCACCTGGAGCACGATTCTTTGATGTTCTACGTATGTTTCTATAGATTGTCCTTCTCCTGTGTACGCAATCCTACATGATTTACGTATGTTCCTATATATTGGGCCTCTCCTGGGGCACGAATCCTTCGTGTTTTACGCGTGTTCCTATAGATTGCCCTTCTCCTGTGGCTCTAATCCGCAATGTTTTATGTACGTCTGTTGCTATATATTGCGCCTCTCCTGGGGCACGAAACCTCCCTAGGAGGTCCCAGGAGGCCCCAAGAGGCTCCTGGAGACTCCAGGAAGCCCCAGTAGGTTTCAGGAGGCCCCAGGAGGCCCCAGGCTCATGCACAACGACGCGCTCGAACTACTGAGGCTCATTCACACTCCAATTCAGTCGCAGTTAGATTTATGTCCAGACTGTCACAACTGAAACCCGTTTATCTTCGAAAGCTCTTGCGCCTAGACATTCACGGCGGACAGGTCCATGCGAATAGATGCACATATGGGGAGCTCCACGCAGTGAATAATTGGCGGACCGCGCCGGAAGGACACAGAACAGGACAGAACACCACACCCATCACCACCACTCATCACTCAGACTCACCACTCAGATTCACTCATCACTCAGACTCACTCATGCTCTCTCATCACTCAGACTCAGTCATCACTCAGACTCAGGCGATTCGCTCGTCTCAGCAATCTAAGGGGGGCGGCGGGGGGGTATTTCACGGGGTCCCGTTCGCGGAATTTTGTGGGGATGTCTCAGGCGGTTTGGCCATTTTCTGATCCAACATGTTTCGTTTTCGGAGCAGATTTGGAGGATGTCTCAGGCGATTCGCTCGTCTCAGCACTCTAAGGGGGGCGGCGGGGGGGTATTTCACGGGGTCCCGTTCGCGGAATTTTGTGGGGATGTCTCAGGCGGTTTGGTAATTTTCTGTCCCAGCATCCTTCGCTTTCGGAGCAGATTTAGAGGATGTCTCGAGCGAGGCGCTCATTTTCACCCCCCTGAGGGGAGCCGCCAGGGGTTATCTCACGGTCCCGTTCGCGGCCGTTTTGTGGGGATGTCTCGAGCGGTTTGCCTGTTTTCTGTCCCCACATCCTTCACTTTCGGAGCTGATTTTGAGGATGTCTCGAGCGAGGCGCTCATTTTCACACCCCTGAGGGGAGCCGCCAGGGGTTATCTCACGGTCCCGCTCGCGGCCGTTTTGTGGGGATGTCTCGAGCGGTTTGCTTGTTTTCTGTCCCCACATCCTTCGCTTTCGGAGCTGATTTTGAGGATGTCTCGAGCGAGGCGCTCATTTTCACCGCCCAGGTGGGCCAGATTTTGAGGATGTCTCGATCGGTGGCCAGACTCGTGGGCACATATTCTCTTCAGGATGCCACAGGAGGCTCCAACTGGCTCCAGGAGGCCCCAGGAGACCACATGAGATCCCAGGAGGCATCAGGAGGCCACATAAAGATTCAAGAGGCCACTGGATGTCCCAAGCTGCTCTAGGAGGCCCCAGGAAGCTCCGGGAGGCTTCAGGAAGCCACAGGAGGCCCCAGGAGACCAGAGGAAGCGCCAGGAGGCCTCGGAAGGCAACAGGAGGCCCCGAGAGGCCCCAGGAGCAGGAGGCCTCAGAAGGCAACAGGAGTGGCTCCAATCCCATGTGTTTTACGTATGCTCCTATAGATTGGGCCTCACCTGGAGCACGAATCCTTGATGTTACACGTATGTTTCTATATATTGTCCTTCTCCTGTGTACTTATGTTCCTATAGGGCCTCTCCTGGGGCACGATTCCTTGGTGTTTTACGTGTGTTCCTATAGGTTGCCCCATTCTCCTGCGGCTGCAATCCGCAATGTTTTATGTACGTCTGTTGCTATAGATTGGGCCTCTCCTGGGGCACGAGTCCTCCCTAGGAGGTCCCAGGAGGCCCCAGGAGGCCCCAAGAGGCTCCTGGAGGCCCCAGGAAGCCCCAGTAGGTTTCAGGAGGCCCCAGGAGGCCCCAGGAGGACCCAGGCTCATGCGCAGAGAAGCGCTCGTACTATTGAGGCTCATTAACACTCCAATTCATTCTCAGTTAGATTCATGACCAGACCGTCACAACTGAAGCCCGTTTATATTCGAAAGCTCTTGCGCCTAGACATTCACGGCGGACAGGTCCATGCGAATAGATGCACATATGGGGAGCTCCACGCAGTGAATAATTAATGGCACGGCACCCCCAGCCTAGATCCCGCTGTGGCTGTGTGCCACCAAAGCTGGGTGTTGTACATACGATCTTCTCCACAGCGGTGCGCGTGACGCCCAATACTCTACGTATACCGGTGCGTGCGAGCGCTGCGCGGCTGCGGCTTCCGCAACCATCTCGGCGGTCTTCCCTGGGAAGGATAAGCGATGGAGAGGGAAACAGAAAAAGAAGAGGAGGAGGAGGACAGAGGACACACGTGGAGCCCTGTGCCGCTTTTGTGTCATTGTGCTGGGGACTGTAGAACGGATCCCCCTAATATGCCGCACTGGACACCTGATACCAGTCCTAACTTGGTACCCTCTGCAATTGTCGGGCCACCCCTGCCCGAATTTAAAGGAGCGCCGAAGGGCACCGCCTTCCCTCCCTCCTCCCTCCCTCCCTCCCTCCTCCCTCCCTCTGCTCCTGCTCTTGCTCTTGCTCCTGCTGCTCCTCATCTGCTCCTCGTCTGCTGTTCTTTCTTCGTCCTCATCAGCTTCGTCCGCAGGCCTCGCCTGCGGAAGCCAGCATTTGCTGGCCGGGCAGACCGGTGACGAGAGTTGATGCCAGACTTGGTATGTTGCGCATCCGACGCCACTGGTTCAATATAACAATGTCAGAGGAGATGACAGAGGACACCGTGACACGGTGTCAGAGGAGAGTAGAGCCTACTTTCCTACCTTCTGGCAACGTGGCACCCTGTGCCGATTTTGTGCCATTAGGCTGGGGACTGAACAGCGGATTCCCCTAATATGCTGCACTGGACACCTAACACCAGTCCTAACTTGGTGCCCTCTGCAATTGTCGGGCCATCCCTGCCCGAGTTTCAAGGAGCGCCGAAGGGCACCGCCTTCCTCCCTCCCTCCTCCCTCCCTCCCTCTCACCTCCCCCCCTCGCTCGCCGCCGATTGCGGGGCGCGCAGGAGGCGCGCCCTCAGCTCCGCGGCCCGCCGTGCCGCTCTCGGGGGAGCCCGGGCGCGGCAGGCGGAGCGCGGCCTTGGCGCCAGCATGGGGGTGCGCAGGGGGTGGCTGCCGCAGCTGCCCCGCGCGGCCACGGCGTGGCAGGCGCCTCGCAGGAGCAGTCCTGAGGTCTTGAGGGAAGGAGGAGGAGGAGGAGCATCATTTGTCGACTCCTAGGATCCCCCCCTTATCTATCGCCTCCCGCCTTCCCCCGTCAGGGAACAATACTTTACAATACTCATGTCAAGTAGTTTGCAGACGGGTGTTCCTCCTCCTCCTCCTCCTCGCCGCCGTTTTGGTCCAAGGCCGTGCGCCTGCATTGAGGCGACGCATCCACATGTTCGGCACCGTACTCTCTTCATCAGCGTGGCTGCTGGGTACCAGCAAATGAGGATACATATGAATTATGTTTTTTCTCCTGTGCGCGTAAGGAGCAAACTCGCGGCTGGAGGATATTGCAGTCGAGGCCCTCATTGTCGACTTGCTGGGCACGGGGGCTAAGGCACATGAGGAGTATCGCATTGGGAATATTATTCACGTTTCGCGCATCCCCACCAGAATTTGGTGTCTTGCAGGAGTGGTTCAGCCTTCTTGTTCGGCCTGGCGTGTCACCTGGCGGTCTGCCTCCCTGTCCTGTGGCGCCCGGTGGCGACGAGGCCCAACTCTCGCGCCTGGCGATTCCCAGGGTATTCGCACGTTGCAACATTCCAACCACCTCCGCAGCTGGCAGCTTCCACCCCTCGGCGCAGCTCAGCCCTGGTGCAGCTTCCCTCGGCGGTAGGTTTAGTTTGCTTGCTCGGCGCGCGCGCTGGCAATTAGGGTGCTCGTGGCCCGTGCTTACTCTACAGACGCTGTCGGCCCGTTGGCCTGCAGCTGCGAGAAAAAACACCAGCCCATTCAGAAGCCCTGCCCACGAGAGCTGACGGGAAAAGGGACGAAGGGACACATCTAGGGAAACAAAGCGAGCAACCAGGATGAACCGAGAGATCTCTGGGAGCAAGGGGGTGGTCTTGGAAGGCCTCTTCAGGCCATCCCTGGGGGCCGCGTGGGGGCGAGGTGAAGAGGAGGAAGAGGAGGAGGAACGCTTCCGCTTTATGTCTTCTTCATTATCCCTCATGCCACCTTTCGCCCAAAAGGATTGGTGGGATTTCTCAACCATCAGCTGGTGGTGGTGCTGCTGCTGGTGCAGCTGATGTTGTTGCTGCCTCTGCTGGTGGTGCGGCTGGTGCCCTGGAAGGCCTGTTGGGGCCATCTAGGAGAGCATCGATCAAAAGATTGGGGGTCCTCGATTCCGGCCCCTTCCCAGGAGCCCTCAAAATCGCCTTTGGGAGCTCTCTTGGGGCTCTTTGGAAAGGTATTGGAGCTTTCTTGTGTTTTCTCTACGGTCTTGGAGCCCTCTTGGGGCCCTCTTAGGGCTCTCTTGGGGGCTCTATTGGGGCCTTTTAGGAGCCCTGGAAGGCCTCTTGGGGCCATCTTGAAGGGAAGAGGGTTTTTTTTCGGAAGAGGGAAGAGGAATCTCGTTAGACCACCTGCGCCCAGAGGGCTGGTGGGAGCCCGGCAGACTTGCAGTGATTGCGGGAGGGAATACGACTAATTTCAGGGACAGGAGCGCAGGCATCTTCATGTTGCCACACAGACGGCCACGATGCATTCGAAACATTAGGACGTCACTGTCTACACTTCAAGACCGCGGGGTGGGGATTGTTTTCAGGTCCCATGGCACTTCAGTTTCTGCGATGACGAGCTCCTATCCACTGAAGCCCTTGGTTAACAAGTTGTCATTGAGATATATGCTTTGTCGGTAAAAGCTGAGTTGCTGGGCGCCGCGGGCTATGGGCCAGGCACCTCACTCAGCGATAGTGTTCTTGGTGATCGATGAGAAAGATGGCGTGGGCCCCACAAAGATGGATGTACAGTAGCAGTGCGTGGGTGAGCAGTCTACTGGTCGGGTCGTGACACTGGATTGTTGTCGATCGGGGGCTGGATTTTGGACGCGTGAGTTCATGGAGGAGCACGGGACGTATTCGATACACGGGCAAATCGCGCCGCCCACGTGTTCTACGACGCTCAGGGCAACACCAGCATGATTGATCAAGCCAGTTTGCCCTCGGCGCTGGCCAAAAAAAGTGAAGCACGAGGGGGGGCATCCTCGCTCGTCGTGGTAGTCGGCTAGAACACTCCTGCAGCTGAGCATCGTGACCTACTATAGCTACATGTTCGAGTGGGTATTGATACGGATTGTGAACGATACGTTTCACTGGAGGGGCGCGCTCCCAATGGGGATTTGACTGATGAGGCGGAGTGGGGCCGGGGCAAACTTAAGGAGGCGTTGCAGGGTTCGAACGAGAGCCACTTTGTCCTGACGAATATTGAAAAACGGTTGGCGGGTTTACCGGTGATGAACGCCCCAAGCTGCCGCATGCCGTCGAGCGAGCGGAAGACAAGACTTGTTCGGAAGAGGTACACGCGCACGGGAGATGTGCAGCCAACAAGTTGTACGCCGAAAAGGGGGAAGAGCTCCACGAGCGCAGGGCGGAGGGCGGGGAGGTGGACCTCTCGTTGCCAGGGCCGCCGCTCGACAACATTTCTTTCATGACGACCAGGGTCATTGCGCAGCAGGTTATGTCAGAGGATGTCTTCGAGAAGCACTTGAATGATAAGATCCTTCCGATCATGGCCTCGCATTTTCTTCACTTCGCGATCCGTGCTTAGAGGGCGATTGACCCGAAGAAGATGGGTGACTAGGTCCAGTTACAGATCGCGCTCTGGTTGAGGCCCCGGGGCCCAGGTAATCCTGGGAAGTCTGGAAGCGGTCTTGGCGGATATCAAGGCGGTGCTGCTCATGGGGTCTGTGCAGATGGGCCCGCTCGAGAGCCGGTTCTCGTGCCTTCGGGTCCGCTTGAGGGGCGAGAGTGGCTAAGGCCTGCGCCATGAGTGATCGGTTTTGTTGGAGCTGACTTCGCGAGGTGTGCGCCGCAGCCAGCTGGCAGTTATTTTTACGCGGCACCCAGTGCAGGAATGGAGTGGGGAGAGCGTCGTCGTGATGGGGTGGACGGGGAGGGGGCAAAAAGGTCGGCATGCTTGCCGCGCAAAGTCTGACAGACTTGCTGCCTGAATGTGTACCGTGATGCTGTTTCTTTCAGCCTCACTAGCAACACTGCGCAGTGCCATTGTTGCACAGCGTCGAAACACTTATGGTTAAACTTGCGTCAAGTGTTTTCGTGTCGTATCGTATCGTATCAAATCGTACCGCATCGTATATTACTCCTCCTCCACCCCCTCCTCCTCCTCCTCCTCCGTAGCCATTTTGGCTCAAGCCGTCTCGGCTCAGGGTGGTCTGCGCGACCCGCTCGGCCTGGCTCCCCCCGACCCGCTCCTCGGGTCTTCCTGTTCCCTCTCCCTCGGGCCGGGCGCGCCTCGGCCGACGGCCGCCCGCCCCCTGCCCCCCTCTCTCCAGCCATGGCTGAGGTCGCTCGTGTGGCAGCATCTGTGAACGGCCTGCCAGCGCTGCCTGGACCGCCTCCCACTCTTGCCCCCGCGGGGGCCGCGGGGGGGGGGTGCGCCGCCGCCCGCGCCCGAGGCACAGTCGGAGGTGGCCGTGCAGTTCAGCGCCTCGACGGCGATAGTGAAAGAGGGGTTTACCTCGCACAAAGCAGAGTTTGAGTTGCTTCGCCAGCAGATGACAGTGATGGGGACCAACTTCGATCGAATGCAGGAGGAGTTCGCGGAGATGAATCGTCGCTCGGAGGCTCGTTGGGCAGAGATAAAGAAATCCCAGGATGCAGCGATCCACCAGGTCTCGGTTGACACAGATGCGAAGTTGGCGGCAGTAGTGGCAATGATCGACGTTCCGATGCAAGAGTTACAGCAGAAGCTCTCAGCAGGTTCGTCGACTCGCGCCGATTCGGAGTTCGAGCTCGTGGGGGGCGATGGGGAAGGAGGGCGTCGGACGAGGTTGAGGACGTCGGGCCCCGACCAAGCCAGTGCCACTCGTTTCATTGTGCTAGGTTTGGAGAAGCCCCTGCTGGAAGCGTCTCTCAAGGAAGCGGCGGCACCGATTGTTGCCGCGTGTAGTCCAGCTGGTGAAGGACCGATCGTTCGAGCATACTCCCTCACGCGGAAGGTGATCCTTGACTTCCCCAGTGCTCTGTCGTGCACGGCGTTCTTCGGTAAGAGCCAGACCATTGGTAATATTTTATACCAGAACCCGATTGATAACCAGGGCTGGGAGCTCCGCGTGCGTCGCGACTTGCCCCCCGCTAGCCGCAAGTTGTTCTACTACCCGGGACAGACTCGTGCGATCATCGGGAAGGTCTTGGGGGAGAAAGGTTTCCAGGTGGGCAGCAACGGTCTCGGCGCTCAGATATGCGGTCTCATTACGGCTACCCACCCAGTGATTCTTGCGAAGGTCACGGTCCTTGAGTGCGGTCGCCCCGAACTCGTTCTGTTCCTTGAGGCCCTCGGAACGTTCGGAGTCGGTGAGCGCGCTGCATGCATTGCCACCCTTTTTGATCAGATTCGGCCCTTTGTGTGAGGGCCCCAGTTGTCCTGGAGCTCCCCGCCTCGGGATTCCTAGTGCGCTGCCTGGCGTTTTTTGTCGGGTCCCTGGTGGTTCGGGCCCCCCCTGGGATGGTGGGCCTGTCGGGGGAAACCATCGGACCCGTGTGCCGACCAGCCAGGATAGTGCTCAGCCAGCCAACCAGTGTTTCAATCTGAATTCAGGAGGACCGTTTACCCCTGGTGACCCGTCCTCTGGAGCGAACGGGGTGTTTGCTCCCTCCTCTGCGCTTACCTTGTGCTCTTGGAATGCACGTGCTCTCTTCTCATCGTACTCTTACTTCGTCTCCACTGGCAGCTCGGCGTTATAAGCAGATGCATGGTCTTGTTGGCAGGTTCGACGCTATGTGTTTACAGGAGACTCATGGCACGGCGTCTGATGTGGAGATGTCACAGCGCGATGACCGTTGTCGTGGTGCAATTGTTCACCATTCGATGATCGATCCGAGGGCTGGGGGCGGTGTGGTTACTGTCATATCGAGTAAGTTGGCTTCGCAGTTCGAATCGATCACTCCGTTTCCGTTGATTGTTGGCCGCGTTCTCGCCTCGCACCTGAAGGGGCGTCGTGGAAACCTTGTGATTGTCAATGTGCACATGCCGAATACTTCTGACCCAGTTGC